GAGGCAGGTGATATACACACCTGTACCTACCTCCCTGCCTACCTCCGTACCTACCTACCTCCTGGACCACCACCACCAACGGCGGCTGCTCAGCATACACACATCTGAAGGAGGATGGAGAGCGTCAGGAGATATACAACTTACACAAGTGTGTATGCCCTCCTACACTTTACAACTACAACAATCCTGTATGATCCCCTACAACATGATACCATACAACAAGCTGATGTAGGTGACGGTCCTTACAATGTATACATCGTGTTATGACCCTCTCACGCTTACATTCATACAGTACAAGCTGATTATGACTCTCCTACACACTACAACAAGTGAATGTAATGCTCAAGCTCCGTCAACACTGTTCACATAAGAAAGTGTTTCATGACTTCCGTCACCAGTGTCACGTGAAGGTAAAGCTTCAACATTCGTCACACTGTCACTGACGTAAGCTTCAAGCTCCGTCACAACTAGTGAACGTGAAGGTATAAGCTTCAACTTTCCGTCAACTCACTGGTCACTGTCGAGGTAATCTTAGACTCTCCCACTGTTCACGGAGTATGCTCAACTCCGTCACCACTGTGTCACGTAGTAAGCTCAACTATCACTCAAAATCACTGTGTCAACGAAAGGTATGTTCAAGCTTCCGTCACCACTGTGTCACTGATGAGGACAGGAGATAGCTTAGTTCCGTCACCACTGTGTCACGAAGGAGATGCTCAAGCTCCTCACCACTGTGTCACGTGAGGTAAAGTCACTTCGACATGTGTCCGTGAAGGTAAAGACTTCAAGCTTCCGTCACCCTTGTCACGTGACGAGGTAAAGCTTCAGCTTCGCACCACTGAGTCACGTGAAGGTAAAGCTTGCAAGCTTCCGTCCCCGTTCCAACGTGGAAGGTAAGCTCAACTCGTCACCACTGGGTCAGGTGATAGGTAAACTTCAAGCTACCGTCACCACTGTGCTCACGTGAAGGCTAAGCTCAACTTCCGTCACCACTTCACGTGAAGTAAGCTTCAGCTCCGTACACCACAGTGTCACTAAGGTGTTCAAGTCGTAGCCATGGTGTCACGTGAAGGAGAGCTTCAACTTCGTCATCACTGTGCACGTGAAGGAAAGCTCAACTCTGTTCCGTCACCATGTGTCACGTGAAGGTAAAGCTCAAGCTCGGCTCACCACTGTGTCACGTGAGTACTCAAGCTCGACACCAGCTGTTGTCAGTGAGGTTAAAGCTTCAGCTTCCGTTCATCCCAGCTTCATCACGTGAAGGTAAAGCTTCAAGCTTCCGTCACCACTGTGTCACGTGAAGGTAATAGCTTCAAGCTTCCGTCACCACTGTGTCACGTGAAGGTAAATGCTTCAAGCTTCCGTCACACTGTGTCACGTGAAGGTAAAGCTTCAAGCTTCCGTCACCACTGTGTCACGTGAAGGTAATGCTTCAAGCTTCCGTCACCACTGTGTCACGTGAAGGTAAAGCTTCAAGCTTCCGTCACTACTGTGTCACGTGAAGGTAAGCTTCAAGCTTCCGTCACCACTGTGTCACGTGAAGGTAAAGCTTCAAGCTTCCGTCACCTACTGTGTCACGTGAAGGTAAAGCTTCAAGCTTCCGTCACCACTGTGTCACGTGAAGGTAAAGCTTCAAGCTTCTGTCACCACTGTGTCACGTGAAGGTAATGCTTCAAGCTTCCGTCACCACTGTGTCACGTGAAGGTAAAGCTTCAAGCTTCCGTCACCACTGTGTCACGTGAAGGTAAAGCTTCAAGTTTCCGTCACCACTGTGTCACGTGAAGGTAAAGCTTCAAGCTTCCGTCACCACTGTGTCACGTGAAGGTAAAGCTTCAAGCTTCCGTCACCACTGTGTCACGTGAAGGTAAAGCTTCAAGCTTCCGTCACCACTGTGTCAACAAACAGCAACTGTGACAATTGCAATTTTGTGTCAGATTTATTAAATGACACAGCTCTTCCTGACAAGGCTCGAGTGTTTGGTGGCAAATCCGCACACTGGAGCAAGAGATATGGGAGGAAGTGTAGGGTAAATCCAGTGAGAAGCAAGGGCGCAGTGGGCATAACAAGAGAACACTGTATCAACATTCGTGGTGCCAGATTATTCAACATCTTACTAGAAGATATCAGAAACACTGCTGAAACAAGTGGAGAAGTCTTCAAGAGCAAACTGGACAAGCATCTTCACCAGGTGCCAGATCAACCAGGCTGTGATGGATATGTGGGGCACCGGGCCACCAGCAGCAAAATCCTGGATGACCAGGCTAGCACCAGACGAGCCTGGCCAATGGCCGGGCTTCGGGAGTGGAAAGCCTCACGGAACTCATCAAAGGTATATCAAAGGTACGGTATATACCCCAATCTTTACATCTTCTCCAACCCCATCTATAAATATACTGAACAACCATGGTGACATCACACATCTTTGTCTAAGACCTACTTTTACTGGGAAATTATCTCCCTCTCTCCTACATACTCTAACCTGAGCCTCACTATCCTCGTAACCTACCTCCTATTCCACACAATTGCAACATCTGCCACATTGCTTCCCTACCTATCCTATCATGTGGGGGTTCGAACACGTGGATAGGGTAAAGTAATACTCACGTAGGCTGGAAGTACGTATAATTATAACGGTAAGTATGGAAGAGCCAAACAGCCGTGACCTGCCTCCTTGCTCACTCTCGTATAACTAACTAACCCCAGTACCCATATGTGAGGGGGGTGTTTGAATACTGCTGTGGTCAGCACAATATGAATACAGGCAGTGATTTACGCAGAGACGGTTGGTAGTGAGTCATCTACTGGTACACTGGTTACTGGTAACTGGTTACTACTACTGAGAGCTCGGCGACGCTAACGTATGTCGTCCCGACATACAACTAATACAAACTAGAGATGGCAGGTATACGGCTTGGGCTGATTCTATACAATGTCAAAGTACACAACAATTGAACATTATAACATACATAAGTAGAACATTGGAATGGAAGCTTACGTAACTGAAACTGTAATGAAACTGTAATGCAATACAAGGTATAATATAGCACAACTCATCGAATGAAACTCAACGTTGGGATTACACAATAGAAGTGATAAAAAAAAATATGATCGATCGATCTGTATTCATGTGATCTACGGATTCTGAGAAGATATATACAAAGAAAGAAGTGTTTAACAGAAAGGCAGATTCGGTGCACTCAAATCTAGACATGTTAACTCTCAGAATTCGGAGAGAACGTGAACACACAAAAAAAAATCTTGAATACTGATAAGTTGATACTGTAATTATTCATCTATACAGGTTATTTACAATTTAACCCCAACTCTGCTAGGGTAAGATTGATATATGCAGAATGGTGTCATCTCTGGGAGGATCAAACTCTGTTGCACTGGCTAACTCATGCTGTATTTGAGGCAAATCTGAATTGGAAGTTACAAATGATACTTGAGGATTTCTCAATACCTGTCGTGTACGTAGGGAATAACGACATTCAGGTTGATCGTCTGACTGAGTATCAGAGGAAGAGAGTACAGGATCAGGAGATTGTCAGAGTCTGTCACATTAGTCTGGACTTGGAACATCATTATCATCACATACTAACTTCATATGATCTAAATGCGATTCTTTATACTGACCATTTACTAATTTCTCTAACCTTATACTTATTACCAGTGATATGTTCAACTACTCGATAAGGACCAACAAACTTTTGATCAGCTTTGGGAAATTGCAGACGTTTTTGTTAAAGTTATCAGCATAACTCTCGAACCTACTTTGATTTTGGATGGCTTTCTCGAGTGTTTGCGACTCTTGTAAATTCTGCTGTTGATTTATGAAGTGTTTCACGGATTCTTCTAAAAACACTTTGAGCTAAGCTGGTACGAGTTGCTATGAAATCATCAGGGTTGTAATTTGGTTTCGGATTAGAATATACAACTCATAAGGCAAACGTTTTATCTACACCGTACAATGCATAATTGGGTGTCACCTATAGAAACTTTGTAAGCAAAATTTTTATAGCACACTGCACATCAGGTATAACTTCATCCCAAGTTTCACTTTTTGGGATTGATAGTGGCTCTCAAGACATCAAGTACTTTTTTGGTTCGTTCCGCAAAACCCATTGCTGGCAGGTTTAAATGAGAACAATGGTGGATTTAGAGATCTTGTACAAGGTGCACAAATTTTCAAAATCTCATTACAGAATTCCCCTTTCATTATCTGTTACTAGGGACTTGGGGGTGGTATGCCTGCAGATAATGCGTTCTTTAAACGCTTTAGCTACTGTCTCGCAAACCTTATCTGCAATAGGAAATAACTCACAATATCTGGTTTAAATGGTCTACCATAACACACAGATGTTTGTTGCCTTGGAGGGAACATTGGAAATTAGTTAACAAATCTAGCGCAACTCTTTCCCACGGTTCGCTAGTAGTTGGATACACTTGGATTGGATTAGGGCCATTAGCATTTCCTTTATGTTGCATGCAGACACTACAATTTTTAACATACTCAGAAATATCAGTTGCCATACGAGGCCAAAAGTATTTCAATCTGGCTTGTTTTACTGAACGATCCATACCAGGGTGTGCAACACCTGGTACATCGTGAACTAGCACACTGGTTACTGGTAACTGGTACTACTACTGAGAATCCTATCATACGCCTCTTCCAAATCCATAAATCCCACAAAATCCTCTTTACGCTTATCTAAACACTGTTCACCAATATATTTCAGTGTAAACACTTGCTCTACACACCCCCTACCCTTGCTAAATCCTCCTTGTTCATCTGCGATCCAGCTCTCATTCTTACTCTTAATTCTTTCAGTAATAACTCTACCATACACTTCACCTGGTATACTCAACAGGATTATTCTCATATAATTCATACACTCCCATTACTCCACCTTTCAGTTACATAAGGTAATTATGTGTGTACTTTGGCCAACCCTACGTATCTTCCCTTCCGTCATACACGCAGTAAGCAAGAGAAAAAC